CATATCCACCTCCATCTATTGTTCAGCAGTCCAGTGTTTGCACCTGTCAATGAGGGACCACATAAAGACCAGCATGTGTAGTCCAGAGAAAGTGGAATGTCAGCAGCTGACAAAACAAAATGACAGTTTCATATGGACAGAACCAGGATTTAATACAACGCGCTGTAGCAAAGAGGAAAGTTCAACTCAAACCACAGAGTAAACACTCTCCTCGACCTCCTGTGCTTTTTTCTTTATTCCTGTATCTTTTCAAAGAAAAGAGATGCTATCTTCATCATTGTAATTGTATTGTCTTTTGGAGAGACCGAATAACCGTTTGCTTTACAGAAGACAGGCTTTGAGCAGTCTTATCTGTAATTATTACATAGTTGATCATTACTTGGGAGTCAGAAAAAAAAGGAAGCTTTAAAACTCAAACTAATTTTTTAAATTTTAAATTTTTAAATTTTAAACCCAAAGTGAATGGTATAAGATAAAATTGCCTTTCTACATGAAAACAGTTTGTTTGCCAATTTGTCTTCCTAATTTTCTAGGAATTAATGCTTTAAATTCATGGTAAGTTTTTTCTTTTGGCATACTAGTAAATGCCGCCCCCCCCAAAGTTTGGGGCTGGCTCCTACCCCAATTATTTCCATAGAAAACTGTTAACCAAATGGCAATGAACTTGGTCTGTCCCAATTATTTCCATAGGAAACTATTAACCAAATGGCAATGAACTTGCTCTGTGTTCCTTGTGCCCTAGGCAGACAGGCAGTTCAAGTGAGCTGTGTACTTTGAGAAAAAATAAGGCAGAAGGATCCCAAAGAATGCCTGCCTCATGTCTCATTGAGGACCTCACCTTTCTCAGGGCTAAAACAGCCAATGATAACAAAGGCTTTGTGTCACTTTGTGGGTAAATTGGTTGTGAGTGCCTAAGGCACTTGGGAAAATAGAGTCACTATGCTGGTGGTGATGAGAGAGATAGTGTGTTCTAGGAAGTTTGAGATACTCTGTATACAAATAAGGCAATATTTATTTGGGTAGTTCTAGGACCATCAAAGTCATCTCCAGAATTGTGGGTACTGGCAGAGTAGGAGTTAGAGTAAGAGAAGTAGGGTTTAGAGCAATGCTCAGGGCCCAGGTTTAGGATTACACCAATCCAAAGGAGTCTCCTATCAGCCTGGGATAAATCAAAACTATAGGTCTGCCATGACTGGGGACATATTTCCATTCCTGACTTTCTACTTTTCTCTATCTATAAATTTTATGAACTGCCTTATCCAGGGTGCTTCAACAAATAAATTGATGATTTCCAAATTATATCTCTGAGATTATCTCCTCTCCAAAATTCTAGGCCCTTATCACAGTTGCCTATATGTCTTCCTCTGAATGGGTCACAGGTACCTGAAACTCAGTGTTTGAATCTAAATTTACCAATTCTTTTCCATTAAAAAAAAAGCACTCAAAGTTGGCCCTCTTCCTATTGTTTTCCTTATTTTAATGAATGGTATCATTCTCCATCTAATTTTACCCAAATGAGAAATTCCAGATATCTCTCTTCAGGCAAAAACCAAAAATAAACAAAAACACTTATAAATTCTACCTCTTTTATTTCTCTCAAATCTTTCTCCTCTACTTCCATCCTGTTTTGTTCCCTATTGTAACTACAGTGCTTAGAATAATTTCTGTACATTGTAGACATTCAGTAAATAATTTGTAAATGGAATAACAAAGAGAAGAGAAAAAGCACTTGGGACTGTAGGAAGCAGATAATTAAGGAAATAGACAGGAATTTAAGAGGATTTTTATCAAAAATATTTTGGAAGACATTCAAGAGAATCTTTCATCCATAAAGCAAGGACAGACAGCTATGAAAAAGGAATAGTCTGAGCAAAAGAATAGTTTCTTGGAAATAACAAAGTTTTTTTAAAGAAAAGACAACAAAACAAACAAAGTAATAAAATTGACATAGCTTAAAGCCTAGTTAATAATCTGGAAAATAAAGTAAGGAATCTTGGGAAGATTCCTTACTTTATTTTCCAGATTATTATATAATATTATTATATTATACATAATACATAAGATTCCTTATGTATTATGTATTTTGCCTCTACATAAGGCAAAATAGCAGACAAAAATTTTAAGAAACACTTAAAGAATAGAGACAAGAGGTCTAATACCTCAAATAGGATTTTCTAAAAGCAAAATAAATACAATAGGATCAAAGCAATAATAGAAAGAATAAAAGAACATTTCCATGAGTCCAGGAGGAAAATAATCCAAACATTAATATCCAGATGGAAAAGACCACTAAGTGCTAATCAAAATTCAAAAACAAGAAGCAGATTGCCATATTTTATCAAATCTCAGAAGACATTGATTATAAAATGCTCCATTATTTTATGTAGTCCTTGCAAGGAAAAACTGTTGCCAGTCAAGCTATGACATTGATAATAATTGTAAGACATCTCAGTATCAGAGAAACTAAGTTGGGGAGAGAATATGTTTTTGTTAAATTAAGGAAATAAATACTCACTGGTGAAATTTTAGTTCTCCAAGAATTTAAAAGAGAAAGGAAAAAATAGTTTAAATGCAATGGGGAAAAAAAGGAGATTTACATTCATGTTCTCATCAGCAATACTAGTTGTTATAAAAAATTGAACAGTTTCCAAAGGGAAGAAAAAATAGTTTGAGCCCTAGGTCTTAAAGTCTTTGAACCCTAGGTTCTAAGGTCTTAGAACCCTAGGTCTTAAGGTCTTATACCCAGCTAAACTATCAATTGATCAGATAAGAAAAATAAATAAAGTTTAGGTTTGTGTTGTGTTTTATTTTGTTTTGTACTGGGGATTGAACTTGGGGGCCCTTGACCACTGAGCCACATCCCCTGCCCTATTTCGTATTTTTTTATTTAGAGACAGGCTCTCACTGAGTTGCTTAGTGCCTCTCCATCGCTGAGGCTGGCTTTGAACTTGTGATCCTCCTGCTCAACCTCCCAAGCTTCTGGGATTATAGGCATGCACCATGGGAGTGGAGGTGGGGGTTGAGCAGGTGCAATAATGCACACCTGTATAATCCCAGCAGCTGGTGAGGCTATAGTAGAAGGATCTTGAGTTCAAAGCCAGCATCAGTGACAGTGAGTTTCTAAGTAACTCAGTGAGACCCTGTTTCTAAATAAAATACAAAATAAGGCTGAGATGTGGAGGGCCCCCAAGTTCAATCCCGGTACCTCCTGCTCCCCAAAACAAAGAGTTTACCATTCATGAAACCTGCATGAAAATTAAAAAAAAAATACTGTAGCCAAATATAAAATGAATGAAACATGCAAGGTGATAATGGGCACAAGAAACAAGGGAAACGGAGAATGACTCAAAAGCAAGGGAAGGTAGAAAAAAATAAATGTTGACACATGCTCACTTGGAAGAGTCTGGCTTTGATAACAGGTGTGCACTCCCTTTCTCTGGGATCCAGTTACACTACTTGGTTTTATGGGAATATGAACATATTGTAAATGCTATTTATTAGACTTCCATTTTTATAATCAAAGAGATTAATAAGGCATGGAGGTTTTATACACACACACACACACACACACACAATGTAAAAGAATAGCATTCCTTTGAAAATTGAGAGGCAGAGGGAGAAAAGAGTATTGAAAAAGAAAAGAGAACAAATAAATTTCCCAACATGGAATTCATAAGTCAAAATATTATGAATGTAATGCACTCCACTATTGTCATGTATGTAAGAAATTTTAAAAAGTCAAAATATAGAAATTTATGAATATTAGTCATGATAAAAGTAACCATATTAAGGGCTAAACACACACAAACAAAAAATGGGCATATGGAATAGAGAGAGGAGATAGAAGATAATGTAGACACTCCAAATTCCTAATCTCTGTTGTAAGGGAGTCCAAATAAATGTTATTATTTATTTATAATAATAATCATGAGCAACACTGAAGGAAGGGGCTAAGGGCAAAACTCAGTGGTAGAGAATGTGGTTAGCATGCACAAGGCCCTGAGCTCAATCTCTAGCACCAAAAATAAGAGCAAGAAAGAAAGAAAAAAAAAACAAAATTCTTAGCTTCTGAGAGTTGAGAGTTTTATGTTGGTGTATGCTATTGGAATTTTATTTTTAAAATATTCATATGCATTTTCAATCATTAAACATAAAGTAATATAAATAAAGGAATAAATAGGTTGGTCCATAGAGATAAATGGTAGTATATATGAAATACTCAGTACAGAATAGGCACTCCATAAATTGTAGCTTTTATGGCTGTTATTACAAATTTTGTTATTTGTCTGTGTGGCAGTAGATGACAACTGGATTCATCTCTGCCTGCCCCTTTTATATTTCATCAGACATATGGAGAGTTGGCTCAAAGCTTCACTTGTTGCCTTGTAGTAGCCTAACACATGTCTCAGAGTTTCGGCAGACCTATTGCAATTACTTTCTTCTGGTGTTTTTTTTCTGGATCTGGCCTCCTTCTTCCACTGAATTAAGTCAGTCTCTGAATCTCATCATTTTCCATTTGTATTTCATTTAATCAGATACTGAATTCCATCTGATTCTGCAATTTCTATTAAAACCTCCCACACATATACACCTTTATATGTGTAAGTTTGTGAAGGTTGAAGAAGGTAAGTGATAGGGAGAGGTAGCTTCATTTTACATGGAGCATTGAACATCTCCCTGGGCACTGATGACCAGCAGTCCGGCATACACCACCCGCCCTGTGGTTTTGCAGGGCACATTTCCTACCTTCACCCCAGCCCTCACTCTGATTGCTCAGGGGAGCTCTAGGTTCCTTTTCCTTTATGCTGCAGAATCCTTGAACCCCTCTTTCAGACCCTCCTTGACAGAGCCAAAACCACCCAGAGTGGCAACATACCAAAGGGCCTTCCTTGTGGGTCACAGAACCTATTCAGAGAGTGGTGTGGGGATAGTAAGTAGCAACTTTTCTCTGTATTGTAAGAAATAAGGGGATCATTAACCAAGATGTTTTTTTCTTTTAGCAAACTAAAATCTCACCTAAGTTTCCTGAGGATTCGGTGGATACCCAACGTGAACCCTCCAAAAGAAAAAAAGATGAAACGGTAAAATTTGACCTATCACTGCAGTGAAACACATTTAAAAAAAAAAAACAGAAAAAATTGTTTTAACAGTAGCAAAGAACTGGGGGATATGACTAGCATATTTTAAAGTCTCAATCTCCTTTCCCTAAAATCACATCTTGGTGCATTCATTTGAAATGTTGTATTTACCTTGGTTTATTTATTTATTTTTTAGGGTCAGGTTAAACATCTACCACCCACGAAGACGCAAGAAGAAAGGAAAGCGAAAGCCTCAGCGACGAGGGTATGATAAGCATTATTATTAACCTAGTTGTTCATATTGATTCTGGCTCTTCTTACAAAGTAACAATGACTTTGGAAGCTATCCTGTCTGTGAAGAGACAGAAAAAGTCAATTTCCTCTTTAGTATGATTCGGTAGCGCATTACTGCCACCTCCCCAAACTATCACTTATGACACGTCTACAAGTCCTTTGTTAGAGATTCATTCCTTTGGCTAAAATCTTTGTCCCCTTGCAAAAATATAAAGAGTACTGAAAAATGACTTAAAACCTTAGTGTCATTGATTCAGTCAGATCCTTTCCTAAAAAGTGTTTTGATAGAAATGGAAAGTAAGAGTGTGAGGGGGATGTTCCTGCCTATGAAGAGAGATGGAAAGGCCACAGTCAAAGAGGGGGGCAAAAGAAATGACTGGTGGGGGATGGGGGGGCATGATGATGAAGTTTGATTGCTTTGTCATATGATTTAGAACTGATTTCCTTTAAGTTAATCATTTCTAGGAAATGGAGGCATGGGGGTCTTAAATTCTTCTGGTTTATAGAAATTTGCAAGTAACTCTAACTCATGGTTTTCTCAAGTTACATTCAAAGGCAGTTAGAATATGCATGCTATTTAATAGAAATGGCCATTTCAGATCTAGGGAGAAACAGGGCATATTGTATATGTAATTGACTTTGTGGTTTACATTCTATTGAAAGGATGAAGGGAGAAGAATTTTGGAGATGCACGTGGAAACGTTAAAGGCTAATTTGGAGAATCAGAAGAAGAAATTAGAAAGGTACTGGAAAGGGCAATTCATTACTATTCCTTTGTAGCTAATCCAGCATTTAACTATCTGTAAATTTATTACAGATGTAAAAAGGAATCAGAGCAGATAAACAAAAACTGGGAGAGGAAATTCCATATTCTCAGGAACAGGTATGGTATGCAAATTCTATTTATAAAAATGGCAGTATTCATAGTTTGAGGAAATTAGGAGCCTTACATTTTTATTTACATATTTAATTAATGTTAAGTGCCCTCATATACTTTGAATAGTCAGAGTCACTTAAAAGAAAATTGTAATTTAAGATTATTGCATTCTCTATTCCAGTGTTTCAAGTTTAAAAGCTCAATAGGACAGGCAGACTCCCTTGATACCTTGTCTAATCAGATCCATCTAGTCATCTTTCTCTACAGAGCCAATAAGACATTTGCACACGAAATGTGACTGGTCTGTATCATGAGATTTTTTTATATATACTAGATCCTTTATTCTGTTATTTTCCTTTTAGCAGCAACTTCTTCATCCTTGGATGCATTTTTCACTAACATAATCATTTAATGGTTCTTCCTTGTATCATTGTCATCTTTTTTTTTAATGGTGAAAATGAAATTCTAAATTAAAGGGAGATCATTAGAGTAGAGGAAAGGAACAAGGGAGGGAGGAAGGGAGAAAGTTCTGGGGAGTGATATTAGTCAAATTATTTTGTTATTATGTGTGCATGTACAAATATGTAACAGCAAATCCCATCAATATGTACAACAATAATATAGCAATAAAAATGGGAAAAAAATAAAATGAACCTGTTAAGAATCTGATAAGGCAAATAGAAATGCCAAATAGAGAAAATGCATATTTTTTCCCTTTTCCTCACATATTAACGTTAAAAAATCCATGTTCTGTTTACCTGTTTCTTAACATAATTTCCCCCAGATCCCTTTCTTTATCACATGTTGGAATTTCCTTTGCAAGATTTTCAATAGTCAACCATCATCCAGATCATGACAGAATCAATACTGATGCGACGGAGTCAATCCAGTCAGTCTTGCGGCTCACACATGACTTCATGGAACCACGATGCCCTACGTGTGGGCTGTGTTTCATAAGCTCATGCTGTGTTCATAGCAATTCCTGTGCACATTACACCAAAATATTTAATCCAGGGTGGCACACCAGAACCCACAAATCAGAAACAACACTGGATGGGGAGCAGAAGCTCCTCTCCTTGTAGAAAAATGGTGTGCCTTGTGCTCCTAGTTGTGTTGATAACTGTTTTGCACTCTACAAAATATGTCTGTTAATATCTGTCTGATCTACGTCTTACAAGGCAGAATGTAGATACAGGCAAAGCAAAAGAAAACTTAAATATGCATTTAATTTCATTCTTCTGGACAAGGATTTGAACTCTGACGCTGAATAGAACATCTTTCCCTAAATAGTTTTGTGGGATTCTCTTTGATCCTTAAGATTTAGTTCATGTCTATGGGATTCATCCTAATTTTCAATAATTGTTTACAAAAAAATGTTCTGTTTCAGTTCAAATTGATTTGTTATTAACCAAGACAGTGACAATCATAGTTATAGTTTTGGTCTCTGCAGACTTTATGTTATTATATAAACATTTAGGATGGTAGCAAATATTAATCCTACTTTCTATATTTTTTTATTTAATCAACTAACTTGGGACACAATGGTATATGTCTCTCTAGTTGGTTGTTATCACTGGATTAATGCCATGTGATCTACATGACAACATTGAGGGTGTCTTTATACAGGGTTTGGCACCGCAGTATGGTAAGGACAGCCATGGACTTGTGTGTGCTAGAATGGCAATTTCCTTTCACTGTAACTGATTCTAGATCAGGGGCACTCTTTTTTGTTTGGTAGAGGAAAACCTTCTGCTTAGCCAGTCAAGGTAACAGTCCAATCCAATGATCTCTCAGTCGATTCATGATTTATATTTAGTTCCAGTCCATGATTTATATTTACCTCATGGTGAAGCTCCCTTTCCATGTCTGTTGAGTTGGTTCAATTTCCAGGAAGGCTGAACATAAAGAAGTGCTGTTGACAAGGATGGGGGCTGGTCCTTTCTCTTAGTGTGACCTGCCTGACATTTATCATCATTGTCATTTCTCTTAGCACAGATGGGTGTGACACGTAGGCCCAGGACCATATAGATCCCTACCTGGCTGACGTTAGAGTGATGGAGCAGCCTCTCCCACCTCCATGACAGGAGACAATCCACGTGCCTCCGCCTGAGCCATGCCCTGGTTCTGCCTGCTGCGCTGTGAGGCTGGCTGGTCTCACTTCTGCCCATCACACTTCCCAAATTCATAGAAAACTGGTACATGATTCCCCCCATGGGGGTTTCCCAGATGGAGACCCCCTCCTGTCCTCTTCTCCTCATCCTCAGGAGCACTGGACCACCATCCCTTCAGGTAGCTGACTATCTATGAGAACTTACAAACATGAAAGGTACAGGCCCACTCTGCTCATTTATTCTCTTCCTCCTCCCTCTCCTTGGAACTCATTGTGAAGCCCCTCATCATTAGATTTGGGAGAGGGTACATTTAGGTAAACAGAAATTTCACACTGTTCCTTACTTCCTCTTCTTTCCCCAATTTTCTATCTTCTCTAGCTTGCCTCCTATGCCAGAGGACTATGATCAATTTTCCTGCTACACATGTCTTCCCAGCCTCTGAAGTTTCACACCTGACAAACCTCAAGTCTTGTGTCTTTGTTCTCAGCCCACAGAAGGATAATAATATAGAAAAAAAAAAGAACCAGGCATTTGAGTTCTATATATCTTGTTTTCACTTGAGTATACTCACAACACATTCATTTCGTCTTAAGTGAAATCCAGATTTCTTAAGAAATGCACAAGCCAAACCAAAATAACTCTGAACTCTTGGGTAGCCAGTGGCTTTTATAAGTCTTATCCCTGCCTCTCATTCCAGCTGTCTGAATTCTTCTCAGAAGCTAAGTCCAGGTAGTTGAGAAAATGGGATGGGCCTGGATTATGAAACTCAAGAGTGTTCAGAAGACCTAAGGCCCTGTGCTTCCAGAAATTGGAAATCCATTTGCTGATATCTTAAGAATTTTCTGTGTTCATAAAAGAGTTGAACACCTACTGTGCTTTCTCCTGTTGTCCTCGACAGCCATTGGTGTCACAATCACACTGGCTTCATAACATAATTGTGGAGAGACTTTTTAAATTCTAGGAGAGATTTGGGGGATAAAATGAGAATTATTTGTTGCTAGATGGTTAAGTAAAAATTTCTCTTTAATTGACCAGACTGAATGTTTTCTTTATGAGCAAAGTTTAAATGACTGACTGTGTTTTTGTTTTTGCTACTGTTTTGTTTTGTTTGTAGTGGTAAGAATCAAAGGGCCTCACCCATGCTAGGCAAGTGCTCCACCACTGAGCTACAGCCCCAGCTCCTGATTCTTGTTCTATTTCATTGTTTAAAGGCCTTGAAGACTATTAATTTTTTTCTAATTTCTTTTTAAATTTATTCATAGTTATATTTTTTCCATGAAATTGGGCAACTTGCGTAATTCTTCCAAATTCTTGTTAAAAAGTAATTCTTAAATGTAGGTATAAGTTTCCTATTGCTGCTGTAACAAGCGACCACAAAGTTTATTGGTTTAGAACAACACCAATTTGTTATTTTATAGTCTGGAGGTCAGAGATCCAAAATGATTCTTACAGGGTTTAATCTGAGTTGTTGGTAGGGCTAGTTTCTTCTGAAGACTCCAGGAATAACAAGTTCTTTGCCTTTTCCAATTTTTAGATTCTTCTTGTCTCACTCCAATCTCTACTTTCCTCATCACATCGCCTACTCCTTATCCTCTCTGATCTTCCTGCTTCCTTCTTCTTAAGTCCCTGTGGCTACATTGAAGCCACAAGATAATCCAACATAATCACTTCATCTCAAAATCTTTAACTTATTCATATCCACAAAGTCCCTTTTACCGTGTGAAGGAATACACTCAGGTTCCATGGAACAGGAAGTGGATATTTTGGTGGAGGACAACATTCAGCCTACCAAAATTAATCTTTTAGCCACCAAATATTTATGCTTATCTCACATGCAGCATGCATTCACCCCATCTGAGTGTATTCCAAAGTCTCGGCCCATTACAGCTTCTACTCAGATCTAAAATCTCATCTGTGAGTCATCTCAAAGGTCCCCGTTCTCATGATCTAAATTAGGTATTGGTGAGGCTCTGGTTAAAATCCATTCTGGGACAAAATTCCTCTCCATCTGTGGACTGAAAACACAATATTTTCTCGCCAATCCAATGCATAATTTCTTCAATTTAAAATCAGTGAGAAGTTGGCCACTGCATTGTTTTGACATAATCTTTCATGATTTCCCTTGATTTCTGGTAGAACAAAATCTCCCAGGTTTATCTTGTACATTCACTGGCTTAGATCTAGAAATAGTCATTTTTGAAAGATGACCTGATTTATTTTAGTGAGAAATTTTTTTTTAAGCCACAGTCTGAGCCATGGGGGGGTGGCCCATTTTCATTGATTCTATGCCTTTTCAAAGAATAAAAATACATGATTTTTTTCAAGTAATAAGTTTATACTAATTTTTTGAAATTTTTACTTGGTAATATTTTTAACTTTTATTGCGATTCTTAACCACATTAACACAATACTTATTTTCTTTGCCCTATGAATTATATACATTTTAATTCCTTAGTTTTATTTATTTCAGCTTTCATGTCCTAAAGGATGAGATGTTTACTAGGCACACACTGTTTCGTCAGTTTGCAGTGCTCGCTGATACATCCTTCAATTATGTGGTAAGTATACATCATCTTTTATGCTATTGTGTCTTTGGATATATATATATCTGTCTTTCTGTTTTTATCGTGTATTGAACTCCTGTTATTATAGGCTCTGGATGTAGTGCATGCCAGTCACTCTACTACATGCTGAGGGCATAAGACAAAGTTCATAGACCCCAAGAGCTCAGTCTAGTGTGAGATGTAGAGGTGTAAACAGATTGTTACAGTGCAGTGGGACTGAGCTATAAGAGAAGCAAATGCAAATTTCAGAGATGGGGTGACTCATTCTAGCTGGAGAGTTTATTAGTCTGCCCATTCATGGTCATGAACACAGTGTTGGCAAATACTAAAACTCAAGGTTCAAGTATTCAGTCACTTACGACGGGGAAAAGGAGGTAAGTACCGAGTCATTCATTTTTACATTAGAGGTTGTATTAGCTTTCAATCACTATAACAAAGTACCTGAGACAAATTACCCATGTAGAAAGAGTTTTATTTAGCTTACAAAGTTCTGGAATTTCAAAGTCCAAGCTTTGGACAGAGTACAAGCTCTGTGGCAAGTGCTGCCCTTTGGCCATGTCATCTAGTGGCTTATACAATGTCAGAGCATATGTTGGAACAAGTGGTCGTATTTTGAACCAGGAAGCAGAGAAAATAGGAAGAACCAGGCTTACTCCTTTTAGGTAACCCTCTCAGGAGAACTCAAGGGGTTGCACAAGAACTACCTTATAATAGCACACCCCAATGATCTTAGAATCCACCTCGCTAACACCCCCCTTAAGGTCCCACCACCTTCCAGCACCACCCTTGGGACCAAGCCTCCAATACATAAACCTTTGGAAAGACACAAGTAAGCCATATCCAAACCATATCCAGGTCATCTATAAAAGCCCAATTCTGAATTAGAGTATTATTTACTTATTGCTTTCATTTTTAAATGTAACTGATGCCCAGTATAGAAACATATCCAATAAAATTCCACTAATAAGGGCTGAGAATATAGCTCAGTTGGTAGAGTGCCTGCCTGTCATGTGTAAGGCCCTGGGTTCAATCCCCAGCACCACCAAAAAAAAATCACTAATAAGTAAATCAGCATGATATAAACTCTCTGGAGCTTCTGCTATAATGCTAAGTTTTCTGAAGATAGACAAGTAAGGTTTGTAGGAAGGAACACAAGAAACAAAATATGGTTTTTTGCAGGTATTTTTTTTGTTTCAAGAGGTAAACAATTGAAAATATTTTTTCATTTAAGATTATTTTCTAAATTAAAGTTGCTGCAGGAGATCAAATAACTTGAGTACACTGGCAAGATAATGTTGAATTCATTGTTTTTTAACCAGCTTTTTACAGTAGTCTGTACTTTACTGAGGATTTTAATAATTGACTTCCCTGAAATGTTCCCGAACTAGACTACATAAATAGGAATATACATAGTACCTTTCCTCCCTGTTGGTTTTTCCTCTCACTGAAAGGTTACAATTTTAATGGGAGCAATATTTTATTTTAGGTATTAATTAAATATAATATGGGAGGGCCCATGAAAAGGCTGTGCCACTCAAAATCAGATTTTTCCATGATTATTATTGGCAAGATCTTCTGGTTCAGATCTGAATTATCCAGCCTTCACGAAACAGACTTCTAAATCTTAAAGTTATACCAGTTCATGTCCATTAGTAGATTCAGTCTTTTTTTCTTGAGATGTTGCCCTCAAATAACCAGGAAATTCATGGAGGAGGAATGGTGCTCTGTCTAGTCTGGAAAGCACCCGTGTGTCACTACTCACCAAGGGAAGGTTCATGAGTCTTTATCTGTATATCCACCCAGAGTATTGACACTTGACCCACTCAGCAGAGCAAATAGCATGTGTTTACGTAAAACAGATAAAGAGGGATTGAGCAGGTGTATGAGTGAGTTTGGGATAAAATAGCATTGTCCCTCAGTACCCTACACCATGTCACTTATCCACTCCACGGATATTTACTAAATGCAAAACGAACCAAGCACCATAGTACTTACTGGGTGATAGACTGTAAATCCCATGGGATCACAGATGGGTTTATCTTATAAACTGTTTTATTTGCAGAGCTTAGAATAGAACCTGACCTATAGACTAGAATAGGTTAACTTTAATAGAGGAACATCAAACTTTAAATTTCAAATTTGAATAAATTCTATAAAAAGGAATGACTTACTGTTGAGGTCTCTCTTACATATGATGAAATTCACAAATATTACACGCATCATTTGAAGGGTTCTGAACTATGTAACCATCATCAAAAGTTCCCTCACGTTCCTTCCCACACAATACATGGTCCACATCCTCACACCTTTGAGGCTTTTGTTGCTGTTTTGGGTGATAATTGAACCTGGGGCCTCAAACATGCTAGGCAACTGCTATACCACTGAGCTACATTGTCAGGCCATAGTACATATTCTCCATCCTCTGGCTTATTTTACACAACACAGCATTTTAAGATCCATTCATGTCTTTGTGTGTATCTGTCACAGGTATTCTTCTTATTGTTGATTAGTATACTATTGTATTACCACAACAATAGTTAGGCATGTAATATTTGTGAATTTTATCATATGTAAGAGAGACCTCAACAGTAAGTCATTCCTTTTTATAGAATTTATTCAAATTTGAAATTTAAAGTTTGATGTTCTTCTATTAAAGTTAACCTATTCTAGCTATAGGTCAGATTCTATTCTAAGCTCTGCAAATAAAACTGTTGTATTATCCATTATTTCCTTGTTATAACAGCTCAGCTATTTCCATTAGGAACTATTGTGGAAAAAAAAAACACTATAAACATTCTTGTACAAGCCAAGCATGATGATACATGCCTGATATCTCAGCTACTCGGGCGTCTGAGACAGGAGGATTGCAAGTTGGAAGCCAACATTGGCAACTTTAGACTTTGTCTCAAAAACAAAAAATAAAAAAGGGCTGGGGATGTAGTTTAGTAGTAGAGCACTCTTGCGTCCAATCCCCAGTAAGGAGAAGGAAAAAAAAGAAATTATCGCATGAGTCATTTGTGAAAGTCTGTTTTCATCATTCCCAGATAAGAGCAGAATGGCTGAGACACAGGAAGCACGTACGTTGAACTTTATTAGAAATTGCAAATATTCCAAAGTAGCTATGTAATTTTACTCGCCCTCCACGAAGCCTTAAGAGTTCCAGTTGCTCTACATACTCCCCAACTTGATATTATCAGTTTTTAATTTTTAGCAATTTTATTTTTACTTTTTTAATATTTTGTTCTAGTTGTAGTTGGGCACAAGACCTTTATTTTATTTTTATGTGGTGCTGAGGATTGAACCTAGCGCCCTGCGGGTGAGCGCTCTACCGCTGAGCCACAACTGCAGCCCCAATTTTTAGCCATTTTAAATGGTGTTTCATTGTAGTTCTAATTCCCGTTTTCCTGATGTTGATGGTGTTGAACATCTTTTCATGTACCTACAGAGCATTCTTAGGTATTTGTGAAGGGTCTATTCAAGACTTTTTGAAAAAAAAAGTTGTGGGACAATACATATAACAGAAACATTGCATCTTGACCATTTTTAAGTAGACAGCTCATGTGTTTTAAGCACATTCACATTGTTGTACAACCAAACCCTGGAACTCTTTTTAAATTTTTTATTAGTTTTAATTAGTTATACATGAAAGCAGAATTCACTATAGTACATCATACATAAATGGAATATAACTTCTCATTCTTCTGGTTGTTCATGATGTAGAATATATGTACAAAGGGTAATAATGTCTGATTCATTCTACTATTCTTCCTACCCCCATACTCCCTCCCCTCCCCTAATCTAAAGTTAACTCTATTCTTCCTTAGCTCCTTCCCCTTATTGTGAGTTAGCATCTGCATATTAGAGAGAACATTCGGCCTTTGGTTTTTGGGATTGGTTTATTTCACTTAGCATGATATTCCCCAGCTCCATCCATTTACCAGTAAATGCCATATTTCATTCTTTTTTTAAGGCTAATTAATATTCCATTGTGTATATATACCACATTTTCTTTATCCATTCATCTTTTGAAGGGCAACTCAATTAGTTCCATGGTTTATCTATTGTGAGTTAAGCTGCTATAAACACTGATGTGGTTGCATCACTGTGATATGTTGATTTTAAGTCCTTTAGGTATAAACTGAAGAGTGGGATAGCTGAGTCCAATGGTAGTTCCATTCCAAGTTTTCTGAAGAATCTCCATACTGCTTTCTATAATGGTTGCACCAGTTTGCAGTCCCACCAGAAATGTGCGAGTGGACCTTTTTCCCCACATCCTTGCCAACATTTATTGTTGTTTGTTCTCGATAACTGCCATTCTGACTGGGGTGAGATGAAATCTTACAGTAGTTTTTATTTGTATTTCTCTAATTGCTAGAGATGTTGAACATTTTTTTCATATATTTGTTATTCAGTTGTATTTCTTCTATGAAGTGTCTGTTCAGTTCCTTAGCCCATTTATTGATTGGGCTATTTTTGTTTGTTCACCTTGCAAAACTGAAACTCATTAAACAACAACTCAACTCCCCATCTCCCATCTATGTACTATTGTCTATTTTTAATTGTTATTGAATGCAGGGGGTTTTGTGGTGTTTCTGGGGTTTTTTTGTTTGTTTTGTTTTGTTGTTGTTTTTTTCTGGGTACAAGTCCTTTGTCTTCAAAAATTAGAAGTTTTTGGTTTTAATGAACACCAACTTACCTTTTTTTCCCTGTGTCAGATTGTATTTTCTGTGACCATGGCTGTACCACACATACCATGGGTTCTTTTTTTAATATAGTTGTGTTTTTTCTTTTTCTCATTGACTTTCCTGGTTCCTTCATTCTAGACTAAACCACTGTGTACATCTGAATCTATTTCTAAACACTCTGCTTCATTCTGCTGGTTTATTTGGCAATCCTTTGGCCAAAAACTTACAGCCCAAATTTATAGCATTTTGTAAATCTTAAACTCAGGTACTGTAAAACCTATTTTATTCCTTTGTTCAGAATTGTCTTGTCAGTTCTTTTTGAATCAGCAACTCTAGTCCTTAAAAAAAATTGCTATGATTTTTATTGGGATTTTGTTGGATTTCTGTTTCTTAATCTCACTAGCCAATGCTTTATCACATCTAATCTAAGTAAATCTATGACAACAATTTCTTTTCAACTCTTGAGGCTTTGCCCCATGGCAAACTAGTAGACATAGTTGTCTGGCAAAGCATCAGTATTTCATATATAATATGCTTCATGTATAGTATATGTTATATATTATGATGTTCTTTCACTCAGCTGAGTTCTTGCTATATAATTCCAACTAAGGCCCCAAATTTATAGTGGAATGGGGATCTGCTGCTAAACTGTATGCCTGTGGTGGGCCCTGGGTTTTGACCTCCTGTTGAGTCCTAGGAACCTTTGACAATCCTTTCACATATTCACTAAATTTGTCAAATGCCCTCAAAGTGAATGGGAGCTACAGAATGGAAGTCAGAGGTTTCTACCTTCTCTTAGCCTTATACCTGAGCTTTTTTTTTTTTTTTTCACTAAGGATTGAACCCAGGGGGTGCTCTACCACTGAGTTACATTCCCAGACCTTTTTATCTTTTATTTTGAGACCAGGTCTCCCTAAATTGCTGAGGCTGGCCTTGAACTTGTGATTCTCCTGCCTCAGCCTCCCAACTCTCTGGGGTTACAGGCGTGCACCTCCATACCCAGAAGACCTGAGTACTCTTGATGCTTTTCATCAGCTTATGGCTACCATGAAGAATATAAGAAATGGAGTCTTATTTGCATTTCAATTGAGTTTTATTTGCATTTCAGTTCTACTCCTGTATTTTATTTACTTATAATTCTTCCTTGTCACATCCATAATTCTCTTGCATTTGATCTCAGCCTATTTGTTATCAGATCTTCTATCTTTGTTTCCTGGAGGTGGTATAATCTTGTACTTTATTGTCTAGGTCAAAAATCTTAATGAGTTTTTTTCTTCTAGGTTAAATAATAGACCATTTTTTAAAAATGTATACGCTTCCTATGATTTCTGAATATTGTTTTCTTTCTTTCATATTACCTGTTCTATTGATTCTGTTCTCCTCCTTGTCAGGATAAGATAAATGGAAATCCAGGGTTGTCCTTGCTCAAATCTCCCTTTCACATTTATAGCTGGAAGGCAGGTCCATGTGCTCAGCACCTATTCCTATCCCTAATTTGCAGAGTTTTACATTTTCAACCCTGACATTAAAAGGCTGTATCTTCCACTAAGAGTATGTAACAACAGAAAAAAGAACTTAAATTCCCAGCAATCATACATTTAACAGTGGCTTTTTATTGTTGTTGTTGTTCTGTTTAGTTAAACATGACAGTAAAATGTATTTTGACATATCAAATATACATGGAATATAACTTCCCATTCTTGTGGCTGTACATGATGTGGAGTTACACTGGTCATATATTCAATATGAACATTGGAAATTATGTCCATTCTACTCTCTTTCTATTCTCATTGCCCCTCCCTTCTCATCAGTCCCCTTTTCTAATCCAATGAACTTCTATTCTCCCTTCCCCACCCCCCTCCTGCTTTTTGTGAGTTAGTATCTGCATATCAGAGGGAACATTCAGCCTTTGGTTTAGTGGGGATTGGCTTATTTCACTTAACATGATAATCTCCAGTTCCATCCATTTACCAGTAAATGGCATAATTTCATTTTTCTTTATGGCTGAGTAATATTCCATTGTGTATGTATCACATTGTTTTTATTCACTCATCTGTTGAAGGGCACCTCAGTTGGTTCCATAGTTTAGCTATTGTGAATTGAGTTGCTATAAACATTGACATGGCCACATCACTGTAGTATGCTGATTTTAAGTCCTTTGGGTATATGCTGAGAAGTGGGATAACTGAGTCAAATGGTGAGTCCATCGCAAGTTTTCTGAGGAATCTCCATACTGTTTCCCAGAGTGATTGCACCAATTTCTAGTCTTACCAGCAATGTATGAGTTAACACTGGCTTTCTTTACTATTTTCATGAAAGACAGGAAGGTAATTGGGTAAGGAGTCATGAGGACATTCTAGATGGGATAGAACCATGGGAAGGTTCTAAGATGAAGGTGTGCCTGGCACCCAGCTTTGCTGGAGCTGAAAGTAAGAAAGTAAAGTAGTAAATTGTGGTCAGAAGGGTCATAGAACTCTGATTTTTGTAATCCAAGAAAAATTGGGAACCCTGAGCTATGCAGAACACATTATATGAGTAATATATGCAACTCTTCCATTTGTATAAAAGTATAGCAATACAATTATGTACAGTACCTACTACTTGATAATGATTATAAATGACCTCAATAAAATAGGAATTGATGGTTTAAAAAAAAACCCTGAGCTATATGTATGAACCTTAGACTTATTTTCCATAAGTATATTTTATGTTCTAAGATTCTTTTGACCTGCACAAATTAAATGTCATTTACTTTGCACTACGTGATATTGGTGACAATTCTGCCTGCATGCTGCTGCTTCTGACCTCCTAGAAAAAAACGAAATTTTTTTGCCTATTCAGTTCTTGGCAGTCGGGCCACCATTGCTGTCACTTCCAGTAGCTAGGTGGTACTGGAAAGGATCCAGTGGTTCCTCACCAATTACAAATATAGTTGCTGTTCCATATCTACAGGTAATTAGTTCCAGGACCCCAACAGACAACAAGATCCTTGGATGCTCAAGTCCCTTATTTAAAATGGCATGCTATTTGCTTATAACCAGTATACATCCTCTTGAATACTTTAGATCACCTCTAGACTATTTATAATATCTAATCCAATGTAAGTACTGTGTAAGTAAATGGCTATTATACTGTATTGTTTAGGAAATAATAACAAGAAGAAAGTCTGTATGTGTTCAGGAAATTGTTGCTGTGTTGATTTTTTGAGGGGGGGGTTGTTTTCTTTTCATTGTTGCTGTTGTTGTTTTTAGTGTTTTCTACTTGTGATTGCTTAATCTACAGAATCTGAAAACAAAGAACTTGTGGATAAAGAGAGCAGACCTATAATACATCCCAAGTTGAAGGGACAAGCAAGAGAAAATAGAATCAGAAGAGTCTGAGGAAAACATGTTTCTTGAGTTTTTTTCCTCAAAATAGCCTGAATAAAGAAGGGGGGGAGTCCTTCCCAGCATTGATTTAAAGAAAAGGATTTCTCCATCCATCTTTGAGAAAATTGGAGTTATGAGCATAGTTTTCATATCTAAGTTAATTGAGGGTTGATCCCCCTTGATTCCAACAAACATACCTTTTGTGTCTTTCAGAGAGTGAAACCTTTATTTGTGCAGTCTAAATTAAACTTGGAAGAAACCGCATCTTCTTCAAGTGATTATCATTTGACTTTGGTAGGAAGATTGTTTTTCCCTATTAAATATCTAATCAGTTAATATTATTGAATATCAGTAATGAAATTTTTGGTCTACTTACAGATAGAAAAAAAGTACCCAGAAACAGTTAGTGATCAGCTCTCCTTGCATCAATCACCCAGAGGTAAGAATCTTGGGGTCTGGTGGTGGCTTAGTGGTAAAGTGCTTGTCTGGCATGCTTGAGACCCTGGGTTCAATCTCCAGCAACTTCCAAAAAGAATAAGAAGGAGATAAAAATCTTTATTGTTAGAAAGAGGTTTACACACAATATGAGTAGTTAGTCTTGATTAACTTTTTACTTTTTTTTACCCTAAGATATTTGGTATTCTGGGCGACTCTTTTCAGCCAATTTATAAAAGTAATGCATAGATAAGATGAATAAAGATATATTAACATGTATTCCTGAATTCTAGCCACTGCTAATTGAAAATAAATTTAGTCTGTTTCAAAATCAGAAACTGTCTCAGCTGGAATCCTGTTTCTTGTTTATTAAACTGCCAACAAACATGAAGCTCTTCTTAATGTCCTGTTTTTCCAGGGCTTCATTGGACTTTTTAAAAACTGGAAGTTGTTTTTTTTTTTTTTTTTTTTGTACACATGTATCTGTAAGACTTTTCTCTAAATTTAAAAACCAAATAGGAAACATACTTAAGTACATCTTCTTTCAATCATCTGTTTTCTAAGGACTCCAGCTGAAGGCATTCAGGGGCAAGGCAAGTAAGTGAATTTAAAGGAATTCATTGCTGAAAGTATATTCATTAGTAGGCTGTAATAAGCAAGTTGAAATCACAAAGTATAACACTGTTAGTTTAGATTATTGATCATGACCTAAGAGTGTCAGTAATTTGTTTTTCATATCCAGAAAGATTTAAAAGTAGAGTTTGTTAATGAGTCTTTATGCAAAGAGGAAGTATGTGATAAGAGTTTAAGTCCTAGACCCCTGAGGGTCAAATCCTCTACTTTTTGAAAACTTCAGCAGAGATATGAAGAATCTTTCCTTTTCCTGGGCCTCTATCCAATGGAGAAAGTTTTCCATGGTGCTTATATGTATGAGTGATATCAGTTCCACAGGCACCTTAAAAAAGGACTCTTTCAACAATCAGTGATGGCTACCTCTTGAGCTGATACTTACATTACCATTAATGCTGAGTTTAGATTCCATAGCATGCATCTGCTAGCTTAAGAAGCAGCGAGCTTTAAAGGTATTGTCATTTAAGTATCTAATTAAATATCTGTTGAGTTTGTTGGACATTCTAACCCATGTGGTAAGTTATTTCTAAAGCATTTTAATATACTGATGATTTATCATAAAAATGTGGATTGGTAACCTGTAGTTGACCTGAAATTTTAATAGGAAGTTTAGTTAACTACAGAATTCCATTCCCCCAAATATTCATCTGAGGATTTTTCATCCAAAAATTGACTTTCCCCAGCCAAAAAAAAAAAAAAAAAAAAAACAGACCATTTTGTAGAGGAGCCAGATGCAGTGACACGTGCCAGTAATCCCAGCTATTCAGGAGGCTGAGGCAGGAGTATCCCAAGTTCACACCCAGCACAGGCCATTTATTGAGAAACTACCCCCAAATCCAAATTAAAAGGGCTGGGATATAGCTCAGTGGAGAGCATACCTAGGTTTAATCTTCAATACCACAAAAAAAAGGTTCAAAAGTCCATCTCAGGTAACACAAATAATGGATTCCTGTTACGCAAAAGATCACTTGCTGAAATAAACACTCCCACTCCCTTTCCTCATCCCTGAAGATGCAAGATGCAGTTACCTCCACTCTCTTTGCTGAAAATCCTCCTAAGATTCATTAGTTCTTTTCTTTGCTTTGCTGATAAAATTAAATATAAATGCCCTCTTATGACCCAAAACTTCAGTACTATATCACAAAGCTCATGATTTGGAATATTAGTTATGTATTGTAGAGGAGATGTGTGAAAATTTTTATACCAAATGCCTCTGGACAGAACCCTGAAGTTTCTTCCCATTAAATCTCTGATACAAAATGAAAAGGGAACCTTAAAAAGAAAAACAAATAAATATCTGATACAACGTCAACGTATCATGTTCTTCCCTCTGAAGATAGTGAAGTATCTTAGATAGGAAAATAATCTAGTTAACAAAGTTTCTGGTGAACTGGTTCCAGTTACTCCATAATTTATTAGGAATGAACTTTCTATGTTTGTTGAACATAAACAAATGAAAAAGCAGGACAAAAGATTAATTACTAATTTACTAATCTGAGGAGTAAATGAATTTTCTCAAAAGAAAACGATCTTTAATGGCTTGTAGAGGGTTTTCATGATTGACTTTCAAAGGGTCAGATTGACCACCAAACACGTCGTTTCCTACCCCTAGCTACTTGGGAATGTTGAGAATCCCTTTCAGGCCCCTAGTAAATAATCTAATACACTATCAGTGTTTTCAGGCATATTAAAGAGGTGTTAGCTACATGGTTAATATGTGTCTGATAAATAAGTGTTTATTATCTTCCATAACATGAAGGGAGGGATATCGTGATGTAGCTGGTAATAGATCCCAAACCAAGCTCTTTCAAATCACTGTTGGTTTTTGTTCCATTTTTAAAAAATATGCAGAAAGAATATTAATATTTACAGTCTCTTACTGAAAATTATTCTCTCTGACAGGATCCTCAGCATCACATCAAAGATTTAAGTTCTTAGGTTGTACTTTCACACCACAGAATACTTTTAAATGTATATATAGCTACCAGGTGTGGTGGCACGTGTCTATGGTCCCAGCTACTTTTGGGAGTTTGAGACGAGGATTACTTGAGCTTTTGAGTTCAAGACCATCCTGGGCAACATAGTAAGACCCCCCCCCAATCTCAAAACCCCAAAACAACTAATAAAACAAATATAGCTATTGTTTAGCAGACATAATCTTCTAAATGGCTTTCTGGTTTTAACTTGATTCTCAACAAGATATGCTCTCAGGTCTCTTGTTTTCCCCAATTTTACAAATGAGAGGATCGATTTTAGCAGGGTTTAATAAACTGCCAGGGGTATATATACCACCAGTAGGGAGCAGGAGGATTCAAACTCAACAAACTGGCTAAAGGGCCACTGGGCCAGTCACCACTTGATTATACTGACTTGCCCCAAGACTTATGCATGGCCACGTATGTTCCCATTTCACCGACAATGGGGAGACACATGAGACCAGAGAAAGAATGTGGGCTTGGGAAGCTGACGGGCATTGGTTCCAATCTCAGTTCATCGCTCACTCACTGGGGACGTCATCCCAGTTCCCTCTTCTGTATAAGATGGAGATGGCAACCCCACCCTGGAGGTTTAGTAAAAGAATTAATAAGGGCTGGTAGTTAGCTCAGTGGTAGAGCACTTGCCTTGCATGCATAAAGCCCTGGGTTAGAGCCCCAGCACTGTGAAAAAGAGAAAAAAAAAAGTACTAAATGAGATAATGTGTGATGTACCTATCTAATCATGCTATTTTTCCTCCTGAGTTGTTCATAATATAATACCAAACCTACATTTTAACCAACCTTGTCAGAGCAATAATGCCCTGGCAGGCTAGTGAATTAAAATAACTTATCTTTCCTTTGCTTCTTTAATAACAAATTTTCTACCAGGCATTAAGTATAACTAAAATCTAGCATTAGTATAAAAACATACAGTATTTGAGAGAAGTGACTTAAAATATAAAATACTATTTGAAACAATGTTGTATTGGGTGTGTCCTGCCCAAGCAGGTTGAAAACGATTTTTGGTTATGTTGCAAGTCCTAGAAATTCTAAAGGGAGCAACAGAGAGTCCTTGTGCCACATAGGTAGCTTTAAGAAATGAATAAATTCTGGTTCATACAAGGGAATAAAAATAAGGCACAATACTATCTGCAAAATTTCAAAGCAGTTTTTTTTATGCAGTAGTAATTATCCCAAGAGAGTGCAAGTAAGATAATTAATTTGTTTGCTGCTTACCTGTGATAAAATTTGGGATCTGAGCTGCCCATTGTGCACTGGGCATTGCCGAAGATTCTGTGTACTCAAGAAGACTTTTCTCACAGTCCAGTAATTAGGTGCTATTGACATTGTAATCTTTGGAAATGTTCTTAATGAGCTCAAAAGACATGAATCTCATAGATAAAACCTCAAAGTAACAGTGGCTCTTTAAGTGGCTTGTCAGGAATAAAAGGCTCAAACATCAGTATCTGAAACACAGGAGAAGCCCAAATTTAAACCTAGATTACATTGTGTAGTTCATTCTCTGCAACCTCTAGGAAAGAAATATCCAGGAGTAATTTGAAAGGCTTGTGAATAATGGAATGATCACAGTGCATTTGCTATAATTGAAGGAACTTTCTTTTCACCCTTTGGAACTTTAAACCTGAAATGTATTTTACCTAAATCTAATTTTTACCAATTTATAAAGATAAATGTTTATTCAAAGTGGAGTTCAGAGTTCAGTGGTCCCTGTTGCTGTTTTGAAGATAGTGAAATATCTTTGAATAACAAAAATAACCTTAAAAAGCATACAAGGAATTGGGATTTACATAAACAATAAAAAGAAATCTCAGGCATAAATAAAAATAAAATCCAAAAAGTTAGCATTATTTTATATATTGTTTCTAGATCATCAGCTATGATGAATATAATTTGGAGAGTTTTCAAATTTATATAAAAATGCATACCTTATATTACCATATGTATAAATAACACATAACACCTTTTAGCATATAATTGATAGAAGATATTAAACAATGAATTATGGGTTAAGTTCCAAAATTAACCTGATTTATCACATACAGTATATTCATAGAAGCCTGTAAATATTAATGATGTCTCTGCCACCAACTTTCCTATTACTTCCTTTGTTGTCACCAAGTAGCTTTTATTCAGATGTCATATTTCTAGCTTATATGTGCCAACTTGTCTTGGAGATTTGAGCTGGTTCTCTACCTTTCCTTGGGAATTTTTTTTTTGCTTTTTGTACATTTATTATGAGATACTTTCTACTTGAGGCATTCAGTTCATATATTAGATAATAAAGCCTAGAAGATCCATAGCTTGTCTCTTGAATTTGTCACTCCAAATGCAGGGAATTCAATGACATAGAAAGGGTCAGGATAGCCAATTGGATTAA